CACCCACACTCACACCCACTCACCCACACCCACGCCCACCACACATCCACACCCACACCCAAGAAGTATAAATAATAACATAAACGGTAATTCAAAATTAATTACCAATAAAATAATGTATTGTTCAGCAGTTAATTTAAATGAAAGTAGTATACAGAATGTAATGTAAGTGTATTAGCTGTAAGTTTATGACGAAAGGAAGATTTAATTCATTACCGTAGCACGTTGTTCAATAGTCTATTTGATAGATATGGATGTGTAGATGTGAGTATAGGTGTGGGTGCTGGTGTTATCTTTGCCCACATTCACACGTCCGCACCAACTCACACTCATATCACCATCCACACACACCATTCGAAAATTTTTCAGGAATGGGTAACAATATGCCTGTATGATGGTGGGAGACCTATGGAAAAATATCTTCATCATTGTCTATACAACTTGATCATAATAAAAAGAACAGCAAGGCAAAAAGCCAATATTTTGCAATACCACAAAATATGATCATGATTGTTATAAAGATACAATATCACTAGAGTATCGTGACCAAACCAGGTACCTCCATTTGTCTTCCAAAACATGGAGTGATAGATTTTATTATGCAATATACGTACAACTTGTTTGTCTGTCTGATGGAAAAAGCGTTCCTGAAAACTAGCGTAGAGTGGACCAGCACTAAGTAATATAGTAATATGATGAATGAGAAAATAATGATTGAAGTGAGGCAATCGTGAAATAAACTGTCTATATATCGGATGACCGGCAGTACTAATTATGAAGTCCGTTTGAAGACCAAATACGTCGTCAGCTGGAAAAAGAGTAAGATGGGGCGAGTCTGGATCAAGTGCTTCCATCGTGGCTACAAATTCGCGGAAAGGATGAGTGCAACCGTTGTCCATATCGATGTAGATGCCACCTAAGTGAAACATTAATACGTACCGGAATGAATCGATACGTTGCATATCATATCGATACTTGATAAAAGTATTCCAATAGAAGTGGGGCTCGCGTTGTCGAACAAATGCATCCATGTCCGCATGTGACCATCGACGATACTGAAACTCACCAGTATTCATCGTCATCACCGATTGTACCGGTCTATTCCAAATTGCAGGTATATCATAGGTACGATAGGTTTGATGAATAACACGAGGTACACGTCGTTGAGGCCAAGTAACATTTCCGTATTGAGATAGATCCATGTCACTTAAATACTTTTGGGGAGAACGACGTCGCAATGCGTAGCTTATAGTATGAATGATTAACACAACGAATATAATGATGAATACACAAATACATATTGTAGTATATCGTCGTCGAATGGCCCTTCTCATTCTCGAATGCATATTCATATTAAATATGCCGTATCACACTGTCCTGAAATGTATGCACAATATTTCACAATCGGAGAAGTTAAGAAAACTTTATTTATATATTAAACATGATGTATCTTGTTACATGATTTCAAATTTTGAAATTTTTCTGTCTATTGAGAGTGTCATAAAAATCTATGCTGGATTTCTTTTATCTGAATTAATCGATATTTTCATTTGCTTTAACTGTGACGTTATAATATAATAAGATGCCCGGTAACTATCTACTACAATATGATTCTATTTCTCAAATGGTACACTTCCTTATATAAATGATTGAAGTCATCGTTTTTTATCTGGTCAACTTATGATGTAATGATTCCAAACTTTTCTAGTATAACGCATATCATCTTGTTCGAAATACTTAAGGGGTTCTTAACGAAACTTTATCTCAAATTATGACATCTAATCATACAGCTTCTTAAATATTATATATAGTGCAATTATGTTTTTTGAGACTGAAGAAAAATGATTAGAGAAAGGCATTATTTAATTTATCTATCACAGTTTTACTATAACTATCAACCATGTCAAGTCCAACATTGCATCGTCTGGTATAGGCAACTAGTTTTTTTTTGTGTTTTCTGAAGGGTTTCGAAGCGTCTGAAATGCTTTTCCCAACAAAACATTGACATTTAAAGACTTTATCTCATTATATCTGAAAAATAGCCTGAAAAATCGATCTGTTAAGTATTATCTGGTTTTAAATTAATATATGAGAAATTATGGATCTGTCAACATAAAATTATAGTTCGAAGCATGTTTCTCCATTCTGAAAATGATCAGATCAAGCTAGTAATGATCATTGATGAGCCATTTCAGTATAGTAAGATGATGACTTCTGAAACTTTTACGGCATAATGAGCAATTATAGAAAAATATGTTGTAAAAAATCTCAGGTTGATTCATTAACTCACTTTTGTATTGAGCTCTCTTTTATGTCAGATGCAATGCCTTCTGACATCAATATGCTCTATCTTCTTTTTCTTCTGCTACCTACTGTCACATTTATGATAGTTTCTTGCTTCCTTTCCTCTCTTGTCTATTTAAGCGACTGATATTACTTAGAGAAGAAATCTTTTAAGCTTAAGAAGAAAAAGACACAGGAAAAAAAATCAAAATAGAAAAAAAAAGTAACGTCCAAAGTGAGCAAAAAATAGGTGAAGACGGCCGACGTGACTAGTCTGAAATGCCCGTAATACTCGTCATGTCTAGTCTAAAACATCTTACACGCTCGTCGTGACTAGTCATCTTTATAAGAAATGTCCTTTAACCACATCCGGACTAGTCCAAAAAGTCCTCGATTCCCGTCATGTCTAGTCTTTTTTGTTCATCTATTCCGTCCAGACTAGTCCGTAGAACAGAAAAATAACAAAAGAAACGTGACAAAAGATGGATTCGAACATTCGACCCCACAATATTTAATGTCTGACGGGTATCCTGACGGCAGACCATGAATTAGCGATAGACTGATGTCAGTTTAAGCACCCATGGCGTAAAATATCTAAGGAAACGCACTGTGTAACGCGTTTCCAAGATTGGGGCATGCGTTTCGCAGCGTTTCTTCGAGACGGAATGCGTTTCACAGTATTTTTACTTATATAGAACGCGTTTTGCTGCCTTGAGTTTTTGAAACGATACGAAACGCTTCTTTTTGCGATTACGTTTCGAAGCGTTTCCCAAATGAAACGCTGTTAAACTCATTAAGTCGACAAGAAAAGTATTGTAGAGAGTCACAACTCGGAGAAAATGCGAAACAGGTTCTTTTAAAATGCATTTGCATCGGTTACGCTTCGAATGATGCAAAACTGATCTCTTTTGTTGGAGCATCTCGAACCAATTCATCTTCAAAAAGCATGTGAGTTAAGAAAAGTCAGCTCTGATATGATTTTGGAAATTATGCGAAATGGTTTGCAAAGAATTTGCTGATTGCATTGTTTTTGATCCTCAAGATGGCGGCGCAGGTCTTCCTTAGCCAAGGTCAGAATTAAGTTCTTCTAAAACTTCAACGAATTACGCCGTTTTTTAAGGCTGTTTCGAAATCAGGCTAGTATTGAACATCAGAGTGTATTCTACAGTTATCTTCTGTTAGAAAACTCATTTCACTACGTTTTCATTCAAAGAAATGCATTTCGTAGCATTGAATCTAGAATTCTGTAAAATGTTGAAGAATTTGAAGAAATTCAGTAAAGACTGATGCAAAAATAATCCGTAGGACAGCTCAATGTTGTTGTGTGAAAAAAGTATTTTCGGATAATTTACGATTTATAATAATAATTATTGATAATTTATGTATGGACTGCGTTATAGTAACTGATTATATACTCTCCGAAACATGACTAGAATATCACTTCCGTTCGTACACTATCGATGTATGTAAGTGCGGCTTGTTGATAAAAGAGGTTCGAATTACAGAAAAAATATTTTTGTAGTTATGATTGCACTTGGATTTACTGATCATGGATTTACATTTACAAAAAAACATTCAATTCAACAAAAACTTTGCAAATTTTGCAAAATTAAGATTACAGTTCTTTTGAATTTAAATTTACGAAATTTAATCTTTTTAAAATTTTTAATTCAATTTATATGGAATTAAATTCATTTTAATTGGGTATTTAAACTTTAAAAAAATAAAGTTTTACAAATTTAAATTTCTAAAAGTTAAATTTAAAATAAATTGACGGAAAATGACACTCTTCCTTGGATAAAAGCAGCAAAAAGAATATCATTTTTCATCGATTCATTCAGACGTGAAACAAAATTTATTCGAATCATAAATCTGTACAAGATATCTAAATAAGAATAGAGCAAACACTTATATCATTTGACTATTTTAGTTGAACGGTTTGTATACATATCTTCTACTCTTCTGTTCTCCTGTTCGAATCCACCTCTTAACTTTATCGAAACTAATGTAAGTTAACTCTATAATTCTATGAATTAATGTAAATCAGTATATAGATCGCACCTGCAAGTTGAGTTCTATGAAGTACTTGACGGGTTTGTTTTTTTCTATCCTTCAAAGTATGCAATACCACAGATTCAGAAACACTGCGAAATGATTTTAAGAAAAAATCGTTTCGCAACGTTTATTTTAGCATATGTGAAACGCGTTAAACCGGCCAGCATTAACGCGTTTTGCAGCTATGAAAAAACGCGTTTTCAGAACGCGTTTTTTTCGCAAAAATTTACGCCATGGGCAGTTTGAGTAGCAGAGTGACGCACGTCCATCTGCTAGGCGATTTGAAATCCGTCGAAGACGGGCGACTTGACTAGTGTGAAATGTCTTCAAGGGTGGTCAGGACTAGTCCGAAGTGTCATCTATGCACGTCAGGACTAGTCCGTTTTTTTGAGAATGCTATGTTAATTCTTGGTCACACTAGTCTAAGAACTTCATGTAGTTTATTCTGTTTGGGCTAAACTGTCCTGCTACTTCGGTGAAACTGATCCATAATGGAAAGAAAAAGAAGTAGAATGCAAGACAAGGAATTTTTTCAATATCTCTATTAGAGTTAAAACAATCGGTAAATAATCAGACATATTCAGAATATGGACCAGATGTAAGAATAAGAAACATTTCGCCGCCTATCTTCTATTAAGAACTTGCTGAATGTTAGTTAAGTATGGTTTGTCATATTACGATTACGAAAAATTAATGGTAATTATTAAATTTTTTAGTAATATACATATATGTAGACTGTCATTTGCGTTATTGATTTCTTTTCTAATTAGGATGACTACTAGAACGTCCTCCAAAATCATTACTGAAGTGAAGGATAGACAGAATATTCTGTGTATCAGTATTTTAAAATAAATCATCATTTTTTATAGTTTCGTATGTAACAGTACATCGAAACATAAAATCCTAGAAGTAAATATAAGATATAATGTTTATTTCGTAGCGAGAATATTCAATTTATGTAGTTTAAAATTTATTCAATGTGCAAAATAAATTAAAATTAATTTAATTTGAAGATAGTTTAAATATTTTGTGCCACAATTTTATTTTATTTAAAATATAAGTTCTGATTTAAATTTAAGAATGTATTTTAAACGACACAAAGTTAGTTCAGTTTCAAGTTTAAAATGTTCAATTTAAATTTAAACTTCATTTAATTTCAAAAAAATGAGTTTCTTTTCGCTTGAAATAATTTTTAATTTTTTTGACATTTAAAACTTTTTTCAATGTAAATAACTACTTCTAGTTGATAATAATCAGAAGAAGTTCCTCTAAAAAAATAAAAATAAAATTTTAAATTTATTTCGTTCAACATTGTCTAAAGAATTTTATATTCTTCAACAGACAATTTTTTATTAAAATCATAGCTCGAAAAACTTTAAATAAAATTGTATTACATAGCATCTTAGAGTGATTATGAACATGTAGAAGTTGATCTCTTGATCGTATGGTTCAATTGGCTAAACGATGGTAAGTAACATATTGCATGCATGTTCGAATCTAATCTTCATCCTTCCATATTTAAATTTAGATTCGTCCGGACTCATCCACTACATAAGACTACAACTCGTCCCATGCACTCTCCGTGACGTCCTTACTTTTTCAGTTTCAAATCGGTTTCGGACGAGAGTCATGTCGTCCCGTCCTGTCTAGTCTTTGTCTCAAAAAGTCCTCGACCAGGACTAGTCCGAATGTTAAGAATGTACTTTCCTCTCGACTGACAAATTTATAGTCTTGGACGGATCACTTTTGATTAAAGAACTAGTCTTATCACGTCCCTGACGCGCGTCAACAACACTGTTAAGACTGGTACGCATGACGGGCAGAAATTCGGACTAGTCCTGGTAGAGGACTTTTTGAGACAAAG